CACGTCTCCTGCACTGAGACTGACAGGCACAGAGGCCACGTCTCCTGCACTGAGACTGGCAGGCACAGAGGTCACGTCTCCTGCACTGAGACTGGCAGGCACAGAGGTCACGTCTCCTGCACTGAGACTGGCAGGCACAGAGGTCACGTCTCCTGCACTGAGACTGGCAGGAAACAGGGCCACGCCTAATTCACAGAGACTTAAGGACATCGGCTAATTTGTGCTGTCAGTGTGCTCTGAATTCCACTTACAAATAACATAATTAAAACTACAGTACGCTTTTTCAAAAATCTACCAAATCAGGAAAAACATGTATCTTGTAAACATGCACATTAAAGTATTAATACAAGTCTTTTTACTAAAAATAACCAGAACTCTGCTTGTCACTGCTGTCTGGGTCTGACGCACATCCATAAACCATAAAAGGAGCCATAAAGGCCAAATAAATCATTAGCTGTTCAGCCAGCGTCACATACTCACAGGCCCACGTTTTTTTAAACAGTATTAGAGATGGAATACTGATCAGGAATGCTCTTTCTCCCCATTTCATCAGTATCAGTTATATGAATATAAATGACAAAGCCTATTTCCAGTTCAAAGCTCTTACTATGAGATGTCTGTAACATACAGGTAGCCGAGGCGCTGATCTACTTTACCTATAAGATCTGTCATCTTATCCGTGATGGCACGAGACGCTCTGATTAAGGCATTGTCACTCTCATCGTATTTCATCTTCATTTCGAAGAATCCTGCAGACAGACAAACAATAAAAGGTTTAAAGAATCAACAAACTAATGTGACAATTTAAAGACATTTAGCTCAGTAATACCATAAACAAAGAGTTTCATAAAATAGCAATCAATATAAAAAAAAAATAATACAATTCGGACTTTAGGCCAAGCCTCTTAACTGAGTGTGAGCAATGACTGTATTTAGCTCTTTGTCAACATTTTGTCCATTTTTATAGATAACTGTATCATACAGTGACAGGAACCACGTCGGTAAGTCTGCTTGACATACTGAACAACTCGACACGGATTGAGGTGAGTATGTGATGATTCAGGCATGTAGTTTGCATGATGCTAAACAATGCTAAGCTTTCCTTAATTCTTAGCTACATTAGCTTCCCAATATGTTCCTTTACAAAAAGGCCTAACCCACAGCACAATGTGGCCTAACTGACCTCTGTTAGCAGCCTCATACTTTTTGGCTAATATCCTTTGACCACCAGCACCCCTTTTCATGGATCCTAACTCTCTTTACAAATCGTTTATGATAGTACAAGTACGAGATGATATATTATAGGTCATGCTGACGGTGGTTAACAGCCTCATACTTGACATTAAACTCGGCAAAAATATGATACGAAGCTCAAAAGCTAACTTTCATCTAGCGCCACATCTGATACTCAAAGACGACGGGTTCGGCTGAGGCTACAGCGCCATCTGCTGAACAAACAATTGAGCAACTTGCTGAACTTTCCACGTTTCCTCCAAGACGACGACAGAGAAGAGACTTACTGTTAAAAACCACATTGTTGTCCTTGAAGTCCTTCCACTGCTGGTACCATTTCGAGTCCTTGTGAAGCACGACACCTGTTGCCTCCCTGAAAACACACACAGACACATACGTTTCTCATACTATCCTTACGAGGACCTTCCACTGATGTAATTATTAATGCAGTATCATTATTAATTAATGATAAGCTATACCTAATTCTAACCCTACATTAAACCTCAATAACCAAATGGAAACCTTTTAGTTTGGTAAATAAAAGCAGCTGTTTTTGTTATTAAAAAAAAAAAAAGCACTTTTCCTTGTGGGAACCAGCCAAATGTCCCCACAAGATCAATCAAAACTGTCAGACATTCCTGTGGAGATACCTCCACCTCCAACACACAGAGAGAGACAGCAAGTCACTCGCCCAAAAGTCATTCAGTCCTGACTACAAAAGAACACTGGTGGTGAATTCATTCATTCATCTTACTCATTAGCATCAAAGACTTTGGCTTCCGTCTCTGCTGCTTTAGGTGAGAAGTCACTTCTCTTCCGTAACCTAGTGGGTGCTCTGTAAGGTCCGCTATGGCCAATATCCCCGATCTCCTTTTTTACGCTCTCCATACCCTGAGGAGCATCACACACATAAGCATCTGGGTTTATAACACATCTGGCTAAAAGGGCAGCAAAGTGGAATGCTTCCATGATGCT